GTCGGCGTGACTGGATCCCGGGCATGTGAGAAGGCAGGTGCTGTGTTGTTTATGTTTGATTGTCGTTGTGTCAGGCCTGATTCTATGCATGGTCGATTTGACCTTGGGGATGCACGCACAACGCCACTGTTCCTCTTCCCCGCCCCTCCTGCTCCTCCTCATCCTCTTCGCCTTCCCACCCCATGGGGTTCTCGTGTTTAGTGCTGGCCGCTTAGGGCCGCCCATAAATTCGGTCGCAACGTCATTTGCTGGTGTCACTCGCGTGGGCCGCCTAGCCTTTCTCTTCCTCGTCCCCCTCCTCCTCCTCTCGACCTTTTTTTGCACAGAAGGACTCTTGTGCATCGATTCCCTGGTACGCAGGTCGATGTTGGCAAAGCGATCGAACCTCCAGGCGATTTCTCTGCAGGGGGGAATCTTACACGCAGGATTGGTTCGAGCTGGGTTTTATTATGTACTGTGTCCAATCCGAACGTTCTCGATCCTTCCAAAATGGTGCTCCCGATACAGCGTGAGCCTAATTGAACTATCTGGGCTTTGCCCGCGTCGTTCAGAATGGCGCTCTTGCCCCAGCGCGGGCCGCTTTTCTAGATCACCTTTCTCATCGTTGTCGCCCCCCTCCTTTCCCCTCATGCGTCTTCCCCTGGTCCTGCTGCTCATCCCGCTCTTTCCGCTCCAGTTCCTGCTGCTGCTGTTCGTCTTCGTACTCCTCCTTCCTCCTCTTCCTTTTCCTCCTGCTCGTCCTCCTGCTCGTCCACCATCTCCCTTGTTTCCTCTTCCTCCCATGTAATTTAAGTATGACTCACCTGATTCAGGACCCGGGTGGCCGCAAACTGCATGTATTCGAATACGTTACAGGCGGCTTTGACGGCCTTCTCATGGTCTTCTCCAAGTGTGGGAAGCTCACTGAGGGTCAGCGGGCCAAAGGGCTTCTCTCAACATGCAGGGCAAAGTTTCAAAGTGCCCACTCAGAGTCAAAGTGGACGCATCCCACTCGTCATCAGTATCCCAGCCATGCCGAAGGCAATGGCGAGGTGCTGATGGATCCTGCTGCTGATTCTGCGGAGGCTTATGCCCCCCCCCCCAGGTCGCGGCGCGAGGCCGATGAGGCTCGGCCGCATGGCATGTGTTGGTCCTCCTCCCATCTACGCATCTTCTGACCGCGGCGAGGCAAGGCTCCTCGGTGGCGGTATCAGATTTTGCTGCTGTGACCTAACCTCGAAGAGATTCTGGTCACTGCCGCCCTGGGCGCTCGTCGTGCGGCGCCCTGGGACATTTCAGCACGGGGTCCTGTTGAAATCCTTTTCCGAGTCCGCATACCTCAATGATGTCGTTGTGCTGAGTGACAGGTCCGCTATGGCATGCCTCTGCGGGTACAGAACACCTCAGCGTAGCGGGAACGGATGGGTGCCAGGGGCAGGATGTCACATATGGCTCGAGCGCACCTAGCTTAACGCCATCCTTCTCTCGTCTCTCCATCTGCCCTCCTCCCCCAGCGAGGGGAGTGAAAGGTCCTGACTGTTCTTGATTTCGTGCCCCCCCCCCCCACACAGGACAGAAGGAGAGTGGAAGAGGAGGAGAGAAAGTCAAAGAGCAATGCGACCCTCACTGTTCCCTCCCCCTGCCCCCTATCACGTAACGACCCCTGCCCCCCCGCGTAACCGCCCCCTTTCCTCCCCCCCGCCTCCCTCCCTGCAGGGCGCCCTCGACATTGCCGCAGCGCGCGCGCGTGCGCCGCTGCTTCGTAGCGCGATGAGGTCGTAGCGCTGGTGGTGCTCGCAGGCTACAGTTGCGCCCGCAGACTACTCTGCCGTCACGCTCCTGCGATGTGCGCAGGCTTGTTGCCCGTGCTCGCGAATATGCTGTGATGTTCGCAGGCTTCTGCTGCACTGGCAGCTTCAGGGTTCGGCATGCTGTTGCGTACCTATCGGTCGTTGAAGTTGGCATTTTGGGATCCCCAGTGCCCAGTCTACTTTAGCCGCCTTCCTACTTCAAGTGTCGAGTGGTTGTTCTTCGTCCCTCCTCTACAGGAGGCGGACGATAACCCAATCTACTTCAAACGCTTTCCTACTTCATGGTTCTACCTACTTTTTCCGAGCGATGGGTACATGTGTGGCGCTCGCACGCTATTGTGGTATTGGCAGGGTCTGGCTCCCCGGGCCACCTGTCAGTCGCGAGCATAATGCGGTGCTCACAAGCACGCCACAGTGCTCGCGGGCCGTTGTTGTGAGCTCCTTGACGCTGGAGGCACTGGCGCCGGCTGCGGCGGACGTCGCCGCCGCCTCTTCCTCGGTCGGGTCCTTGGGGCGCAGGAGTATCAAAAGTTTGCTCGCTCCCAAACATTCAAACTTCGTTTGCAGGAGTTGCCCATTTGACAATTGTGAGGCCCCTGTGCCATCTCTCCCATCTGGGGATGTCCAGAGCGCGACGGTTTCGAGGACTTCGCCGTCGTCACCGTCGTGCCACTTCTCATCTTCCTCGTGCTCCTCCCCTTCCTCCCCCTGGCCCCCGTCACCCTCGTCCTCCCGATCACATTCCTGTTCCTCCGCCTCCTCCTCCTCCTCTTCCGCTTTCTCCGCCTCCCTCGTCATCCAGGTCGTCATCCTGGTCGTCATGCTCCCTGGCTCGTTATCCTCCTCCCCTCGTCATGCTCGTCGTCGTACTCGTCGTACTCGTCGTTTTCGCCGTCGCCGTTATCGTTGTTGTCTTCGACTTCATCGTCCTCGTCCTCCTCCTCGTCTCCTCGTCATCTTGCTCGTCGTCCTCGTCATCTTGCTCCTCCTCGTCCTCGTCTTCCTCCTGCTCCTCGTTCTGCTCGTTCGCAGGCTGTTGTGGTACTAGGAGGGTCCAGCATGCTGTGCGCACGCACGCGGCGCTGGAAGACTATTGCGCTGTGGTCCTTGTTCTTGATGGGCCCAGCTAGGCAAAAGGTAGAACAAACCAATTCCAGGGTTATTCTCCGAACAGTGCTGGCACTTAAAGACTTAGTGATCGTTTTCTTATTAATTGTTTTGCCGATTGGCGCGGGCTCTCGCAACCCCCTCACCCTCCCATCTTGAGTAGATCTTGGCTGTTTTGGGCGCCTGTCTCGAATAGGTGGAGTCTCCCCCGCAGGACGCACCGCTGCAGACAGTCGCTCTGAGCAGAGGTCTGGAGCCAGGCCCCCCCCTCCCCCCCCCCTCTCGCCCAGTGCCGAAGCGCCGAAGAAGAAAACGCTCACCCGTAGGGGCTCCGCCCCCTCTCCTCGGGACCTGCCCCCCCCTTCCGCCCAGTGCCGAAGCGCCGAAGAAGAAAACGCTCACCCATAGGGGCTCCGCCCCCTCTCCTCGAGACCTGGGCCGGGCTGCCCCTGCGGCCGGCGGCTCGTGGCCGCCCGCCGCCGCCGCCCTGCGAGCTTCCCTGGGGCCTGGCTGTCGGCCCGGCCGGCCTGGGGCCGCTCGTCGCCGCCCCTCCCTGGCCGGACACGGCCAGGACCCCGGGTGTAAGGGGACCCGGTGGGTGGTACTACCAGCCTGGAACCGCCGAAAGTGGGAGGAGGACAAGGTGCCCACACCGCTGCCCTTCGGCCGTTTTCCCCCTGTCTCGGCCGCCGCCGCTGGATTCGCCTGGCAGTCCTGGTCAGAACGCACCGCGGGAGAGGCCCGGGGAGTAGCGGTATCGGTACCTTTTGGCTTCCCCAGAGGGTGGCAGGCAGCTGGTTACCAGCCTGGAGCATATCCCTATCCCTATGCTGGGCATCTCCTCATCACGATGCCAATCTTAGGGATTCCCTTATTTTTTGAGGGCGTATCCCCAAGATTGTCATCGCCTTTTGGCGTGTCAATCTTAGGGATAGGGATACGTTCGAGGCTGGTAACGGTGGGGCTCGGGGGCCCCTCAATTGGCCAGATTCTTTGAAGCAGGTTTGCCGTAGCTGGTGTTTTTCGGGTGACGGCAGTTCCGGTTGGTGGAAATGGGACGGGGGCGCCCCCCAGTACAGATCACTAAACCAGGTGCCACTAAACCCAGCTCTGCCAGCGCCCGATGGTGGTCGCCCGTCGCCGCCCTTCCCTTGACCTCTATAGGCCTCCTGGGCGGGTCGGAGGAAATCGCGCTGCGCCGCCCGTGCAGCACCGGTGCGGCTCGATGCTCGGCCCGACTTTCTCCGCGCCGGCGTCGCCGAAGCTCCGCGACGTCGCCGACGCATCGCCGATGCATCGGCGATGCATCGCCGAGGCAGTGTGATTAGGGGGCCACATGCGAACCCTACCCTACCCCCCACGATTTCTGAGGGGGAGGGTGGGGTTCACTTCGTGAGGAGTGAACCCTCACGAAGTGAACCCCACCCTCCCCTCAGAAATCGTGGGGGGTAGGGGTGTCCCCTACTCTCAGGACTCTGCCAGACGCCTGGGGGGCCTCTCGGTCGAGGCCGAAACCGAGCAAGAGGGCGCTCCTCGGTTCTTCTGAAGAACGCGCTGCGGCCTGGCCTGGGGTAGGGTTCGCATGAGGCCCCCCAAGTGGGCCCCGGAGGAGGAGGAGGAGGAGGAGGAGGAGGAGGGGGTAGGGGTAGGGTTCGCACGAGGCCCCCCAACTGGGCCCCGGCGTCGGGCTGGCCGGCTCTGTTGGCTGGCTGTCGCCACCGGCCCGCTCGCCGCCGCCCGTGGCCGCGTGGCTCTGCACTGGCTTCGCAGTGCTTGGCAGTGCTTTGCCCTGCTTCTGCACTGCTTTGCACCGCGCTGCACCGCGTTGCACCGCGTTGCACTGCTCTGCGTGGCTTTACATGGCTTTGCATCGCCTTTCATTCCAACAGCGTCAGCATCACCCGCATCCTCCTCATCATCATAATCATCATCATCATCATCATCATCATCATCATCATCATCATCATCATCATCATCATCATCATCATCATCATCATCAGTATCGTTATCATTATCATTATCGTCATCATCATCAGCATCATCAGCATCATCAGCATCATCAGCATCAGCATCAGCATCAGCATCAGCATTCGCATCATCCGTAGCGATTGTGGCTCAAGTCATTTTCTCGGTTCTAGCATTGCTCTCGTTTTTCTTTTCACGAGAGACCCACTTCTTGCTGTCGCCCGCGCAGACCGTCTGCGAGAGGGCCAGCAGAGATGCCCACCGTCGACGATATCAAATTCATTATGCGCTGGGCACAGAAGAACGGCAGATCATCGGAGGAGGTCAGCCTTTACGTGTCGAATCTGACGCCGAAGTCCACCCAGAGCTCATTGCGGCAGTGGATGGAGAGCAGGGGCTGCATGGACGGGTGCGACTACTTGCACGTCCCTCGGAACTTCCAGACCGGGGAGTGCCTCGGATTCGCCTTCCTCAACTTCGTCGACCTCCCCAGCGCCCAGAAGTTCAAGTGGTCGCTGCAGGGCACCGGCATGAAGGCGGCGTTCTCGACGCTGCAGGGCCTGGCGGACAACCTCGCGAAGTGGCTGCGCACTCGCTCCAGCCACGTCCGCGACCCCGAGAACCTGCCCTTCGTCCGCGCGCTCGGGGCCCGAGGTCTGGTGCGCCCGGCCTGGGGCGGGCAGGGCGGCCGCGGGCCGGTGGCGGCGAGGGTGCCCCTCCCGAAGAGGGAGGAGCGGCACGAGCACAGACTCTCGGCGCTCTCCGCGCGGGCTCGATGGATCCGCGTTGGGCCCCCCCCCCCCGCTGGCGCAGATGATCTCCCCCTCCCCGTCAATCCCCTCCTCCTCCTCCTCCTCCTCCTCCTCCTCCTCCTCCTACGCCTACTCCTACTCCTACTCCTACTCCTACTCCTACTCCTACTCCTACTCCTACTCCTCTTCCTTGCAAATAACTTCCCCCTGTCGCACCCCGAGGCCAGTTTTTCATGCGGGCCGGGCGTTTCGCCTGAGACTTCCTCACCATGTATGGCTCTGAAGCCTAAAAAGTGGCAGCAGTTTCACAGACGGATGGCGGGTGGTTTTCAAAATGTGGCTCTCGCCTTCGCGCGGCGCACATTCGTTTTAGAAATTTACAAGAGCTTCACGGATTGAGGGCGGGTAGTTTTCAAAATGTGGCTCTCGCCGTAGCGCGGCGCACATTCGTTTTAGAAAATTGCAAGAGTTTGACGGATTGAGGGCGGCTGGTTTGCAAATGTGGCTCTCGCCCGAGCGCCGCGCACAATTTTTAATTTGCAGGAGATTCACGGATTGAGGGCGAGTGGTTTTCAAAATGTGGCTCTCGCCTTAGCGCCGCGTGCATTCGTTTTAGAAATGTGCAAGAGCTTCATGGATCGAGGGCTGTTCCTTTTCAAAATGTGGCTCGCGCCCTAGCGCGGTGCACATTCAATTTAGACATGTGCAAGAGTTTCACGGATTCCCATCATCAACGTACCAAAAGTTGTGTTTTGGAAGGATTCAGTATGATGCGGGTGCAACAGTTACGTTGGTTTTCTTTGTTGAAATCCTAGGACTGGTGTTCTGGCACGATTCAGGATCGTCAAGACGCACCAGTCAGGTTGATCAGTGGCGTTGGAATCCCGAGAACAATGTTTTGGCATGCTTCAGGGTCTTCAAACGGGTGTCTTCCAACGAGGCAGTTCCACTAATGGAAATGAGCCGTCCTAGGGGCCTATACAGAGGGAGCTTGGAGGGAGGGTTTACTCCAACATCGTTGATGACTCTTGGGGTTCACCCTGGTCCTCCTCCTCCTCCTCCTTCTCCGGCGCCGCCCCTGGCGCGCTCCGCGCGCCGGGGACGGGGGTTGCAGCGCGCATGCACGGAACCCGCGCGGAGCGCCAAGAGTCAATGTCCGTGCCGTTCTTTCTTCTTCTGCCCTCCCGTCCTTCCGCGGGGCGGCCGGCGGCCCCCGCAGCCAGCGCCGCGGCGCGCCGGCGGGCGAGCCTCCAGCACTGCCGCGGGCGGGCTCGGCGGGCGGGCTCGCGGAGGAGGGCGCGCCGCGCAGGCTCCGCCGCGCCGTGGTCCTGCAGAGGTTCTGCGTGTGATCGGAGGAGGGGGCGGCGCCGGAGGCGCCGCCGGAGGAGGAGGAGGAGGAGGAGGAGGAGGAGGAGGAGGAGGAGGAGGAGGAGGAGGAGGAGGAGGAGGAGGAGGGGATTGACGGGGAGGGTGATATCACTCCTTTGCGAGAGGATCCTTGCGCTCGAGGCTTCGGGGCTTGTGCCAAGACGTCGAGATTCGATGTAGGACGCGGCTGCTGCCACGTAAAGGATCTGATGGCGTTGTGAGGGTCTGTTTTCTAGGAGCCGTCGTGGAATCGGTGCACCGTTGGCAGCCCCTCCAGTCCTGTCGGGTTTGCCTTTCCTGCCCGAGTGTGCTCGCGAGAATGTGGAATCACTTGGTGCTCGGCTCTGCCCGACGCATTCCGAGTCAGCGGCGCAAGCTCACCCCTCGCCAGCCACATCTTACAGCATAAGACTTTCTTTAGTCACCTGATTTCTCTCGCTTCGCAGGGTGCACGTCCGGAGCGCGTAGCGACTGGGCGTCGGGTGGTTTGCCCTGCGGGTCTGCGTCGCTGGTCTGCCGTGTCGTCTTCAAGAGGGGCGGCGGATGCGCCCCCACCCTTTCAGCGCAAGATTTGGATACATTGGACACATTGCGTTATAGCATCCGCAGAAAACGCTGCTGCTTGACACGTCACTTCCGGACGTGGATTCCTTTCGCTTCGCGGGGTGCTCGTCAGGATTTCGTGCAGTCCCGCTGTGGGACCTCTTGGGAGCCTCTTGGGGCCTTCTTGGGGGTCTCTTGGGGGCTTCTTGGGGCCACAGAGGGGGCTTCTTCGGGGCCTCTTGGGGGCGTTTTGGGCCTTCTTGGGGCGCTCTCGCGCGGTGTAGCTCCTGCGGAGGCCGTCTTGGTGGCCTCGGGGCCGCCTTGGGACTCTCCTGGGGTCCTCTTGGGCCGTGTTGGCGGCCTGTTGGACGGTAAGGGGCCTCTGAGAGTCGCGCTGCTTCCGCTTCCTTTAGTCCTCTGCGGTGGCATCTCTTGTCGTCTTCTACGGCGGTCTGCCGCGCAGTCCTGGAGTCGTGGAAGTTTGGGGGTTCATTCGGGGGACTTCTGCAGGCTTTTGGAAGGCTTCTCCGGGGCATTTCGGAGCGTATTGGGGGCCTCTTGGGGCTTCTGGGCGGCGTCGCGGGCCGTCTTGGGGCCGCCTTGGGGCCCTCCTGGGGTCGTCTTGGGGACCTCTTGGACCGTCTTGGAGCTTTCCTTGGGCCGTCTTCGGGCCCTCTTGGGCCGTCTTGGGGCCCTCTTGGGGGTCTCTTGGGTCGTCGCGTGGCCATTGTGGAGGCTGCTTCGGCCGTCCTGGGCGCTTCAAAGTCAAAAGAGGTGATAACGCTGATTAACATAATGCAAAAACCATCGGGAAATCGATGATTGTTGGCTTATGAAGGCGCTCTTGGGCGTCCTCTTGGGGCCCTCTTGGGCCGTCGTGGGGCCTTGGCGACTCTTTAGTGAGCTGGGACAAGGGCGAGAGATAGCGAGCGTTTGTCCGCGGCCGTTTGTGCTCAAGCGGCCGGCCGCCAACATTTGACTGTGTCGCATTGCGAGGCATTTTGCTCGCCATCGAGACCGAAAACATCCTTCGCTTGAGATGGCCCGTCGGATCTGGTGGATTACTAACATGGTGGAACATCAGGGTGCAGTGGGCCTGCGCGGGGGAATGTACATAACAACGCACAACCGCAAGGACACTTGCAGTGCTACTCTGTTCTCGCAGAGGTCTCTTACTCGAATCCGACATCCCTGCGCTACTACACTCCTGAAGTCCACCCGCCTAGTCCAACTGGAAACTTTTCGAAGATACCATGTATGGCAACATGCGATACGATACTGCGCCGCCTCCACCCCCGCGCAGGCTTACAACAAAACACCACGAACCTCAGCCAACCACATCCGACCACGACCTACGGGGCCACTGGATTGGTGTTACTATCTTTGGTCTCATATGGGTTGCTATCGGGTGCGCTGTGGGACACATGCGTGGCGGAGACGACGCAAGGACAACCGGCCCCCACCGGGGCCCGGCCAGTCAAGTACCTTTCCGTGAATTCGTTCGTGAGGCACACGCTTGGATCAATATGACGCCCCCCCAACAAGCTGCAGCACTGCAGCGCGCACTGGGAGGCCTCGCGCGGACCGTAGCCATGGGAGTTCCCCCAGCCATCATTAATTTTGGCGTCAACACAGGTGGCCGCCACACTGATGGCGCCACCTACATTATGTTCCTCCTCGGCACGAAGTTTGAGAACTTAGAGGAGGAACGCCAATTTAATTCGGGTTCTGCTCTCATCGACTTTCGAGTCCACGCGGGAGAGCGGATCGACCAGACACTGGCGCGCTTCGAGGTAGCCCGCTACGAGGCTGAAACAGCAGGCTTCAACATCCCCAACTTCCAAATCTTAACTGCCATTCTGTTCAGAGCCCTAGGCGCGGGGGCGTCGCGTGCACAACAACTCGTTCAGCCATTTAGCCACCAAGTGCCGAGGAATCAGCAGCAATTTGACTCTCTGCTTGAACGCGCGAGGTCATATGCTCACATCGCTGAGCGACCCCCTGGCAAGATTGGTGGCATCTGTAGCCGCGGCCACCGCGCCGAAACATTGCATGCTGAAACTGCAGGGCAACCTGCTACAAACGTCTGGAACGATGATCCACAACCAGCGGAGACCACCGCGCCATTCGCTCAAGATGGCGGCGCGGCCGCAGGGTCGCAAGACTCCTGGGCCAGGCGCCAGGGGGCGCTGGCAACGGCGGCCCCTGCCAACGCTTGTAGATTCAACGGGGCAACCCGGCGGAAGACCAACAGGCTCATGGCTGCGTCTAGGATATCAGAAGCAGAAACACAGATGGAGACGGCTCATGAAGAAGCCAGCTCGTAAGGTACAACGTACTATCCGACAGGCGCTTAGGGGAAGGGGTGAGGGTCGGGGCAAGGGTAAGGGCATGCGACGGCGATTGCGTGGCGGAGATATGTTAGCTTTCCTGGCATCCCTTACTGGACCGCAATATGAAGAACTATTCCTGGGCGCAGGCAGGGGTCGCAGGCGCAAGTCAGGAAAGGCGGGGGGCGCCGGGGCAACCTGAAAGACGCTAACGGCAAACCAATGGAATGTGACATCTGCCATAGCACGCAACATTTTCGCCGCGAATGCCCCCGGGGCGATGGGCGAGGCCGAGGCCCGTCGATACATTTGGCTCAAACCGATTCTGACATACAGCATGTCGATTGGGAAACGTCACTGGCCGCCCCTGCCGACAATTCAGTTACAGCGGTTAACTTCACGGCTGCCAGATATCTGAGCGCCAGCGTGTCCCTCGAGAATTGCGCCGACGAGCTCTTCGAGGAGATATACATTGGCCATGATGAGATCAATCTGGCAGACTGTTTAGGCATGCCCATCGCGGGGCAACCTGCGCATGTCGAATTTGTTGAGGATTTCTACGCACCCGCCGAACTAGATCCATATATGGCGGGAACACCCGCGGATTCCGAAGCTACAGTTCCAGCGACAGAATGCTTCATCCTCAGGTAATTGGCAATCCGACAAACATGGAATTTTACGATGAAAAATCCTTTGCGGGGAAAGCCGCGAGATGCCTGCGACCTTTCAGAGCGCATTCAGTACGAAGACCATCAGTCTACATTCGTGGCCACGAGGCGGTCTCCGAGCCGCCAGGGGCGATCAGCAAGCCGCCACTCTGGAGACGCGCGAACCGCTCAGATGATGATGGCGACGAGTGGGGAGCTGAAGACACGCGCATGCTACGCCATGGTCGCGCCCGCAGTTATTCACGCGGGCACTCGCGCGCGCGCTCCAGCGGCTTTCGCTCCAGCGGCAACCGGCGCCCTCACCCTCCTGATGCGAGGCCCCCACGAACTCCACCAGGGAGGCGTAATATACCTGGGGCCCCGCCGAGGAGGGAACGCCCGCGGGGGGGCCCGCCGCGGGGGGTGGGTCATCTAGCTGCGTGCCCAGCAGACGAGGCACAGCGCCTTGTCAGCTATGATGCTCAGGGACTCGCTCGTCAGCACATGCCTCCCGATGCAGTGAAATGCTGGCTGGACCGAGGTTGGCCCGAGCACAGAATTCGTCAGTGGCATTCACTTCGCAATGTTGAGCGCGACGACCAAGGCAAGATCGTTCGCTCCAACAGGGGCGCGGGCACCAGATCACAGGAGTCTCTCCATAGACGGGGCCTCCAGGGGGCGATCCCGGAAGAACGGCGGACTCACCGAAGATTCGTGCGCGCGTGCTTTGATTGTGCCGACCGCGGACCCGGTTGCCCGATGAGGCGTCCATCCAGAGGCCGTAAGTTCGAAAGAACACCATGGGCCTGGTCTCACAGTGATGGTCGGGGTCGCGTCACAGATCCGCCCAAATGCCCACGTGCAGAGCAGTTGACGAGAATGGACTATCAGCCAGCCGATGAACGTGGAAGAGTTCTTACCGAAGAAATGGGATAACCTTGCTCCGAATCACTACCTTATCGTGAGTATCACGCGGGGAGGCCCGCTTCGTCCAAACAAGAAGCTGTCGACCATCCAGAAAGCGACGAAGCTGCAGGTAATCCGGCCCTTGCCACGGCCGCAGACCCTACCGAGGCTGCCCCTTCAGGGTTCGACTCGGACTACTCCGACACGGACTGCGCCTCTGCCGCGGACTACGCTCACGTAGCAGACGCAGTAATAGATCTGTGACAGGGTCGCGGAAGATATGGATCTCTCCCCAGGCAGAATAGTCGCCTACCACGCCAAGACCGTAGGTGGGAAAAAAACCCTTAGTGTAAATATGGTTAAAGCTGACATGCGCGATTTGAGCTGCAAGGGCAAGGTCAAGATTAAGGACCCTGCACTCAGAAAGCCTGGGGAACAGGAGGACCTTAATCCTAGCAGAAGGCCCGTGAGCTTCTTGGCGGGAAAACCTGCAGGGGCAAAGCCAAAGGTACCTCCTCCGAAATCGACGCCAGATCAACCAATAGATCTGTCCCCGTCTTCGCAGTCTTCAAGCCGGCCCAAGTCGCTCGGACCCGATCAACTTGCGCCACCGCCTAAACAGAAGAAGAGAAATAGTCCAGATGATCCCAATCCTGGTAGCAGCAAGCATCAGCGATCTGCGGGGCAACCTGCTGAGAGACATCGATCCAGTGGACCAGGAGTGGCCGCCGCAGCAGCTTCGTTCCGGGGCGCTAGTACGCCTACTCCAAAGGATCCCGCGGCCCGTCGCGGCCCTGCACCTGGCCGGACACGCAGGACAGGCTGGGCGCCATCACTGGAAGGATCATCAAGGGACGCTTCTTCATCAACGGACGGTGCCAGCAGCACCTGCAGCATCCGAGCTAGTAAGGATGCATGGCGAGCCTGCTGCTGTTCCTGCGGGGCAACCCGCTGTTGCTCTCGAAATGCCTGTGGAGTGCAGGCGATATTGGGAGCAATTGCGTACTGCCCATCGAGTGAAGATCAACCCAGCGTGCAAGCCCTTCATCGATGACGGGCATGATCGATACTTTGTGGTGCAGCGCGACACCCTGCGCACTGCTGCAGTTGCTGATGACGCAGCTCATAAGCGCCAGGTTGTCCGCAGCGTCCTGCGGAAGGAAGCCGCTCCCAGGTATGACTCTGAGAAGAA